TACAAACTTACTTCACAAAATTTTCCAGCTAAATATGTTTGTGCTGTGTTTTGTCAGATGGCACCACAAAATATTTTAAAATATGGGCTGAAGATTGTATATAAAAAGGATTTGTTAAAAGTCTGTATGAAGAAGAAACCTGCTCTCCAAATGTGCCACACATACTCATTCTATACCACCAAGTAATTATTCATACACCACATTCTTAAATGTGGCAGGTTTATTCTCTGGAGAGAATAATACAGACAGATGTGGATCCATGGATCAGGCAGGAGGAAAACCAAGTAAAATTAAAAGAAGTATTTGATTAAATATTTGTGTATTTGACTCTGAGAGCTCAGCTTCCTTCTTCTTGGAATCCCACAGCTCTGACAGCCAGAATGATTCTCTATAGGTAAGATATAAAGTGACACGTGTTTTAGATTGAATTCCCTGAAAACTGATTCTGGGACAAATATTTTCAGGTCTAAGGTTTTGTGGTGAGTGATATTATGATATGATTCTAAGAAAAAGAAAATAAGTGTAATCGAGCAGGGGTAAAAGCAGGCTCTCAAGATATTAAATAATTAGTAAGCATATAGAATATTTGATAAAAAAGAAACAATTGTTAATTCTAGCAAAAATTTTAAAAGCACATATAGAAAATGAATGTAATCAATACACATTAAAAAGTTCAACTTCCAGAAGCTTTTATGTAGTCATACCAATATAGGAGTATCATAAACTAAAGTTTTAGGACGTTTGTATTTTCTTACGGCAGGCGGAAGATGAAAAACACGTTGTTTATGGTTCATCTTCCATTTTCAGCAGTCAAAGTAGGGTTAAAACAAAAAAATCAAGAAGTACACAATAAAAATCCATGTTCTTTTGAAATTTGGGGGTAAGTAGCAAAATAGATTAAAATTGAAGGGCTTTGCCTACATGACATAGAAAATGTGGTGTATCAGAATTTTAAGTCATGTAAAACTATTTGGTTCTCTAAAACATGTACATATGTTCCTCTGATAAAAATAACATTTGCAGAACTGCTCATCCCTGCCAAAATGATAGCCCTGTTACAGTAAAGTGATTCTTACTTTCCATTTTGATAAACAAATATTTCTACCAGTTTCTGGAACAATATCATGCTTATCACCCATTTGATTTCTAAAGTCTCTGTGTCTCCTCAGAAAAAAAATTCATTTATAAGGAGACAAGAGGTAGTAAACATGGATATAATAAACTCTGTATAACAATGGTAATACCACAGAGCCAACTGAAATTTTCGGGGAAATTCAAACACCTAAGAATATAAGTCATAGATTATAATCTCACACCTTAAGAAAATCTGAGCCAGGTAGGGCTGCACAAGGAAGACTAGACTCAGCTGGGAGGCAGAGGGAGAAGGCCATATGGACAAGAGCTTCTATCATGGTTTCAATGAAAAGGAATGAGTGAGGCATGGTAAACAGGCTTAGAATTGGCTAGAGGAATAATTTTAGTGAGCGTTGAGTTGTAGGGACTGACCCGAATTGTCACATATCTGGGTCCATGATAATTATGACAGGGAAATATTTGGACCTGAGTGTGAGAGGCCAACAAAGAAGGGGGTGGTGTATGTTTGCTCTGGATTGGTTGGTTTTCATCTGAAAGGCACACTGCAAGGATTAAGTGTTTACAATCTCCAGGAACTGGTTGCCCTAGCAGAGAGAGTCCAAAGTTGGCAAGATTCCAAATATCAAAGACCAGGCTCAATCACAGAACCACTCTGAGATGATAGAATAACCTTCAGTAATATTGGCTACACAGCACTACATTGAGAGGAGAGAATATCGATAACATCGACCACCAAAAGCCAATCATATATCGACATATAATAAAACCTTCTTTAAAGAGATCTCTACAATTTCACTAAGGAAAATAAGAGTTATAACAATATAGGCCAAAATATTAGGCATTAGTGATAATCAGATTGTACTTAAATATATAGAAAAAGAAGAAGGGAGGGGAAAGAGGTAGAAGAAGGTATGAGAAGAGAAATAAAAAAAGAAAAGGGAAAGGAATATAAATTGAAAGGAAGAGAAGAGATACAGGAAAAATCTAATGAAAGAATTAACAAAAATAAGTTAAATTAGATGACCACATGAAAAACATTAATAAGCAAAAACAGAAAAAAAAATAGAACCACAACAGAATTGAAAGAAAAAACTAATAAAAAATAAGAACAAGATTTCTCCTTGCAGAGATACTTAAAATGAGGACACCCCCACAATAATAGAATCTGCTCAGCGTTAGTTGAATTGTGAGAAACTTTTCTAATCCAAAGTGCAGAGTGTTCCTTCTCAGTCTTGACCCACTTAGGACAAACAGGTTAAGGTCTGAGTTCTATCTACCCTTCCTTTTCCACCTGCAAATGTTAAAGTCTGTGATGGAGTTAGATTAATACTCATTACCTCATGTGTTTGCTTGTTTTGGTTTTTGCACCTAAGGATGGGGATGCAACAGCAGTTGAAGCTACCTGCCACATCTGTCACTTGCCTAGCCTGTGGACTGGTCTCAATTCTAGAGATTCCTCCTCCATGCATTTGGAAGTATGGTTGTCAAGTTTCTGAGCAACAAATAGCAACGCATACTCTGACTGACTGTGACTGAGACAAAGGCAACCAGACACACAGGGTCTGTGGTGAGGAGGGAGGTTGTGGAAACCAAGCTTTCCACCAGCCTCAACTGAAATGCTGCCCATCTCAACACCCCCACACTCATGGAAAATTTGAACATGGCTGGTCTTTTTTCATGTCACAAGTTAAACTACAGGGTTTTTTGTTTTTATTTTTTAATGTGCAGGCTGTGTTAGCCTCCCTCTCTGGAAACTGTGGTGCTCCACCCAATAGAATGTGCTCCCTGCTACCCAGAAGCTGACACTCCCCTCTACCTGGCTAAAGTCACTCTCTGCTGCCCAGCAGCTGGCTCTCTTTCCACTGCTCTGAGTGCTTGGCTGATCTGTACCATAGTCACCATTTTGCTGTGCCCAAACTTATTCTCAGGGTGGACACTTTCCATGTCACTGGAAACAAGTAAATGAATGTTAAATCCTGAAGATACAAAAAGTGAGGGGGCTTCTGCTGTCCCATGCAATTAAGCTGGACAGGATACATCTTAAAATGGCTCCCCATTTGGCACTGTCTGATTCGCTGGGAAGTGCTGGGAATTTCTTCACTCACAATCAGTAACTTCCCAAAACTCAGGTTACTTCTCCTCAGACTGCACATTTCTCCCACAGAAGAGTCTGTATTCTTAAACTGTCCCCCCACATATTCAGGACCAGTGCACTCTACTTCTGTTATTTCACTTCTTACTCTAAACACCAATATTTCTGGGCTTCACCTGGTCACTGGCTTGCTCAAGTTGTACCTCAGTGATTTCCTTTGTTACTGCTATCTCATCATGCAGCTGCGTACCTTATGACCTGGATGTGGAGCAACCTGAGAAGGCTTCTTGCCTCTAGTCTACCATAATCAGAATGCCCATTAGAAGCACATTCCTTGTGTAACTTTAGATGTTGTTATTTTGCTGGGATCTATTTCTTTCTCTGAAAATATATCTGATAAATGGGAAAACAGGAACATCTAGCCATCCATTAATTGCAACAGTGAGTATCTACTTGATATTTTCACAGGAAATTGGTCATATTTTATTTTACAATTTCTACCAAATTCTCATAAAATAATTTCTTTTGGCAATTTGTACTGTTTCAAGAAGAACTTAAAATATCAGTTAAATTGAGGCTTTTGGTCCTACAAGAAGATGAAATTAAAAGTATTTTGTGCTTTGATTAATATTTTTCTTCATTTCTCCTTCTCTCTTGTGTTTGCCTCTCTTGTGTTTGCTTCTTTTTAAATTTAGCTATCTTTATTTTTTTTAACTTCATCTGAATTATCAGAATAATGACAGTATTAAGGTGTTGAATTCAAACTCTGATTTCTTAGGTGTGCCAAAGTAAAAATATATAAAATTAATTCTCATTTTATAGAACAATATAACAAACAACAGTGTCAAGGTCAATAATTCATTTATTATCTGGTGTCTTAGTTAATTTTTCATTGCTGGGACAAAGACTTGACACTCACAAGTTAAAGTAGGGAAGGTTTATTTTAGCTCACAGTTGTAGAGGTTTCAGTCTATAGTTGGCTGGCTGCACAGCAGGGCAGTATGGCAAAGAGGCACGTCAGAGGAGAAAAAGTTCATGGCATGGCAGGCAGGAAGCAGCAGCCTTCCTTATGCTTTCCTTTTTTATTCCATCCTGGTTACAAGCCTATTGGTTGGTGCCACCCACACCCAGGTGGGTCTTCCCTATACAGTAAGTCCATCATCCATACCCAGAACCGTGCTATACCAATCAGTGGATGAATCCAGGATCACACCCATTATATAGTCACTTCCCCAAAGCCCCCCACCTGTGAGCACATGAGCCTTTCAGGGGACATCTAGGTATAAGCCATAACACCTGGGGTTGGAGAATGCCAGACTACTAAGTCTTAGGTAAAACAGTCTTGAAAATTTATATTCAGAATATTTTGTGTTCACATTTATTAGCATGATTCTAATATTCTTAACTCCTAAGTTGCACTTTCAGTTAAGATGCAGAAATTCAAAAAAGATAATTGCACTCATGATAACAATGAGAAAAATATTAGAGAAATTCTTAAAAGATCTGTTGTTGAGCTGTTTAAGTTTCAGACATACGGAAGATGGAGTGAACTAAATCCCAGAACATGGAGGCCCATTCCTAGGTGAGCACAGACTTGTAACTACTTCCATCATTGAAGGAAATTACCAAGTCTGGAGGGAAGGGTAAACAAAGGAGAAGACTTTTCCAGATAGGAATCTAGAAAGGACAGGAGAAATAAGCTAAACTTGCAGTGGTCATGTAGGGATTAGATGGTAGATTTGAGAATGGAGGGAGCTCAGACTCAAAGTTGACTCTTCATCTAATAATTCTCTGTCTGTATATTTTCCTGCAGAGTGGTCCAGTTGTTTCCTGGACGCTGGAGCTGGCCCAGAAAGCAGAAAGAGACCTCCCTTTTCTCTGATGTTTATAAAGACCTGCTAAGGAAGAAGCATAAAACCACCTTCAAAGTATCTGACTCAGAAGTAAAATGAAATGAACTAAAGCTGCAATCCAACCTGAACTCAGCTCAGTTCCTCATTTGGTTGAAAAATAGTGCTCCTAATTTTACCTGTCTGGCAGACAAAAGAGGAAAACATTTTTGAGAGTAGTTAGAATTTACTTTAATCTCTACTCTTTTAATCAATATCTGACATATAATAAAATTCTGAAACATGCAAAAAATTAGGGATATGTAGCTCATGATTAAAAGGTCAAAAATCATAAAAACAGACTACAACAAAAGTACTTTTAGTCTCTATAGGTTTGTATATTCTGGAAATTTCACAAAAATGAAATGATATACTGTGTTGCTTTTTATATTTGACTTCCTTGAACTAGTATAATGTTTTCAGTGTCTATCCTTATTATAGTATGTATCAGTACTTAATTTCCTTTTATGACCCTATGATATTCTTTTACAAAAATGCACATTTTATTTATACATTGATTAATGGTTTCTACTTTTTGTGTAGTGTAGATAATGGCACAACTTTTGGAGGAGTTATAAAATGTACTACAGTTAGATGGTAATGATTGTTGCACAACTTTGTGAGTATAACATAAATATTAAATTATTACCTTTTAAAGGATGATTTTTGTTATATGAATTATATTAATTTTTAATTGCAAACATGCAGATTGAGTCCAATGTTTCAATTAGCAGATAAAGACTTTAAAATCAACATTATTGATGCCTTAGAGTTTTTAGAGAGAAAGAAATAGGGAACTATTTAAGAGAAATAGGAACTCTAAACTGTATCCAAATAGAAATTCTAGAATTAAAAATCTGAGCATCTGAAACAAAGTATTCTTTTACTAGACTACATACCAAATTAGACACAGCTTAATGATCTCTGATAAGTCAATAGAAATTACCCAAAGGAAAGTATAACAATAAAAGAAATGTTTTTAAAAAGCTGAAGAGATCATTGGAATTTTTTATGAAAAATTTCAAATAGCCTGGTATACATGTAACAAGTTCCAAACATGAAGAAGAGAATGGGAACATTGAATTATCTGGAAAAATAATTGTCATTAACTTTCTGAAAGCAATGATAAACATTCAATATTTATGCATGAAACTCTATGAACCTTAAACATGATAGCTTCAAATAAAACTACACCTAGGCAATAGTTTGTGAACAATTATGAAAACAAAATATGAAAAGAGAAACTTAAAAATAGTTACACGCAAAAAAGAACAAGTTGTGTTCAGATGAACTTCTGTGAGAACTACTCTGAATTCTCAATAGGAAAAAATAAAGGCAGGAGATATAGATAAACTTCTTTGGAGTGTGTGTGGATTCAGCTTGCCATGACTGCAGCCATCTTAACTCATAGGTACCTCTACTTCCTTGGAATAACCCTAGGTGGCTTTGTGTGTAGTTTCCCAGCATACTAAAAATAGACAAATCTTTTAAAGTAGTATATGCAGCTTTACAACTAGACCTCGGGCCCAGAATGTGTTCAAGTGATATTAACATAATAAATCAGGTACCTTCAAAGTTGAAAAAAAGTTACTTTTGCCCTCATTTATACATACACGCTTCTTTCTGACCCAGATTTCAAGGGTACAGAGCCACGCTGTCATTAAGTCCCCAACAAATTGTACTCTCTGCAATCTTGAATCTGTCCATCTCTTTTCTGTGGTGTCATGGCACCTTAAGGCTGGTTCTCATACACTGGGGCCAGGTTGTTCAGAACAGAGTGCTTAAAAAAGTAACCATCAACCTATACTTTTACAAGGAGTTAAATATCCTTTGAAAATAGAGAATAAATATATTTTGGAAAAAATAAACAAGAGATTTCATTTTTATAGAATGTACAGAAAACACTAAAGTTATTCAAATGTAACAAAACTGATCCTAGAAGGAACCCCACAGGACTAAGAAGAAAATTACAAAACAATATTCTTTTGAAGTTTTCTGCACATGATTGGCTAATAAGTATTTTAGGTTTTACAGGACATAAAATCTCTGTGACCAATACTTAACCCTAGCATTGTTGCACAAAAGTACCCAGAGACAATATATAAATAAATGGGCACAATTGTGTTCCAATAAAATTTTGCTTCTAAAAACAACTATGCTATTACAATAACTAAAAAATAAATATTAGGGATAAGTGACCAAAGAAGTGTAAGATCTGTACATTGAAACCAACAATGCATTTCTGAGAGAATTAAAGACTAAATAATGAAGATATATACCATGTTTATGAATTTGAAGACTTATTATTGTTAAGATGTCTGTAATCCTCAAAGTAACATTTAAATTTCAGCAACCTTAATTAAAATTCCAGCAGTTTTTATTTCTTTTTTTTTAAGAGTAGGAAAAATTTATTGGGAGAAAGAAAGCTTCTGCCTAAGAGAGACAGAAGGGGGACCATAAAGTGGGTTGCCCACTCACCCCACTTTTCAAAGATGTTTTATACAGCAAAGCTATGTGGTGAGGTGGGTACAAAGTGGGACAAAATTATAAGACCCAAAGGAAATTTACAAGGTGGGCATGAGCTGGGACAAAACCATGACCAACCAATAAGATTACAAGTAGAGTCACCTGGGTAATATTGATTAAATGGGGATCATATGGGAAAACAAGTCACAAGGAATATTGCATTTAGAATCACTGCTATCTAGCCCCAGGGGAAGTAGTACCTCTTCTTTTTATAATGCTAACCAGTGAATGTGCCTCAATTGTTGTCTATAATGGTTCCTTGCTGTGTTGGCTCTTGGAGGGCTGGCCCTATCTAACTACATACAAGATATCTAATTAACTTACTTATCTGCAACATTCCCCCCTCTGAAGAACTACCCCTAACTGCTGTGAGGAGGCAAAGGGTGAAGACAGTTCTGGCTGCTTCCAGCTGAAGAGAGTCATAGTTGTGATCAGCAGTTAAGAGTTACTCTATAGAGCCTATCTTAAGGCCCTTGATAGGTGCCAGGCATTGTCATCTTGGTAGCCATATAGCTTTGAGTCTGGAGGAGACAAAGTCAAAGAAACAGTTAATACATGGGCCAAATTATAAGGTCAGCAGGATTGCTATGAATATAGCCAACAAGGGTCTCCACTGGGAGGAACTAGTAATAGCCTGCTACAAAGAGGATAAGGAGAAGGTCCAGAGGACTTCAGAATCCAACAGAGAAGTTGCATTGTATAGTTTAGCAGTTATAAGCTGTTTACAATGTCAATCTTATGGATCCCAGTAAAAGAAGTCTAGCACATTTGTCATTGGTTCCATTTGTATGACTGCTTGGAGTTTGGCAGCCTCTAGGCAAGAATAAACAAAACTTTTAAGAAATAAGAGCATATATAATCTAAGCATGAGCACACTAGAATGGAAGGGCAGGTTGGGGAGAAAGTCACACTTAGAAATTGAAATAGTGATTGTAACCTGGTGGCTCTTAGATTCTTTCACTGATAAAAGTTATGTATAAGTCTGATACTTTGTCATAAATCTTTCTAGTTTTAGCTGTAAGAAGATAAGAGACAATTTAAAGAACAAATCTCCCTTAAGAAATTTAATACTCGGCTGAGCTCTTACAGATTTTATGTTTTTTCCTAATGATCCATAACTGTGGTCAGCTACTGGTGTAGCTAGAAACTGCCAGAAGGGGTCAGTGACTGCAGCCCCTTTTTATATCTAGCTTTATTACTCTGGCATTATTTTATACCTCTTTTGGTTATTCTTTTCTTCTGGGTGTTTAAGACCAAGTTAAAGTGACACCTGTGTCAATCAGTATGAACCTCTTGCTATCTATCAAGGTCAGTTAAGTCTCCTCAGGCATTACTTTGGAACCATGCATAGAGCCTCTCAGCTCCTCTGTCAGTGACAGCCATCAGGATGGGTCATGGCTTTGCTTAACCATGTTGCTTTCAGTGAAAGTGTGGGAGATTTTTCCCTCTTTGTGACCCTCCTTTGGCTCATGGTACGTTTGTCCTCTGGTGCCCAGCAATTTCCCTGCTCAGGAGGTTGAGTGACTTAACAAAGATGTAGGATACTATAGGAAAAGTTCATTTGTGTCCTGGATTGTTGTTGACCTTGAGGGGCCAGGGCCAAAATGTTGGCTGCCTTCATAGTCCAGTTAGCTTTCTAGTTTTGGTCTCCAGACTTTAGTTGTTGAATACCCAGAAGAGAAGATCAGTGGCATAAGTATTTCAGTAGGAGCAGTGACCTTAACTATTATAATAGTTAAGACATCAAGGACTTTTGAAGTATAAAGCACAGTTAGAGGGCTGTTATTTCTTACCAACCTTGGTTGTTTTAGTAGTTGAGTTCCTGAAGAATGTTAACAGACAAAAAGATATATATTATAGAGAAACTTAAGATCAAGAGCTACACATAGTATTTTAGCATGACAATCATGATGACATTTTCTTTGTAACTTTTGCATGTCCATCTTAGTACAAACAGTCTTTCAGTCAAACACCTCCATCTGATCACAAGACATTAAATGACATAAAGAAAATTCTTATTTGTTATCCTTTAGTAGGATGCCATCTAAAGAGAATATACATATTGGCCTATAAATGTACCTTAACAGTTCATAATGTTTAGCCTCTAATTTTAGTGTGTGACATTGTTTCAACTGTTTGGCGACTGAGCATCCCTAAATGTGGTGACACATATAACATACATCACATGAGATTTTTAAGAAAACTATTATTTGACTGGTTTTCTCTTGCTGGCTTGACATGTACCTCTTATCACAAGTAGCTGGAGTGCAAGAGAAAGGCAGATACCTGAGTCAAATACTATCATTACCATAAACAACATCCTAGGAGACTTGTACACCTGGAAGGTGTGAATATATATACCATGAAATAACAATAAGTTTCAGTTACATGAAACCCTTTGTCCTTTAATTTTGTTTTGTACCAAGAGCATTTTAAATAAAACCATGTTTTTCCACAGAAAACTTAGACCATGACCAATGTATACATATCACAATAATATGTTTAGCAATGCATTTCCCACAAGGCTATGGAAATTATTGAGGTCCCCTTTGTGAACAAAGGCTGTAATAAATTTTTCTAGGCAGCTGCTCCTTTATTTACCAAGGGGGAGTCCTGTCCAGTAGTTTTCCTAAGCCTAAATCTATTTAATTATCTTAACAAATTTTGAGACAACCTATGAGAGCCAGATCATAACAATTAACACATTATTTTTGACCAATGAAAGATTGCCAATATTATATAT